GAAGCTGAAATGTGTGAAGTGATGGAATAGAGCTCAGTGCGGTATAGTAAGCTTCTGGTACGATAGAGAGGGGGAGAACTTGCAGAGTTAGCACTCATTCACTCAAGTCAGGGATTGAGTGAAAAATAGTTTGATAATGAGAATAAATTGAATATATGAAATACGTGAAATGGTCTTTATATAGTATGAGCAGTTAAAACCGTCCGCGTGTGATTCAGCGTCTTGCGTGATTGCCTATCAATTAAATTCAACGGTGAGGGGTGTGGTGGAGGATGCGATTGCATATACTCAATAGGGATGAGGGTCCACATGTTCTATCGTCTTTCTTTTCAATAGTTGTTATTGGATCTTCTTCATGGGCCTTGCGGTTGGAATCGGCGCATAACAAGATTGATGGAGCTTTAGAGGATGTTTGATTACTTTGATTGCTTGAGGGTTTACATACTATGACATTTTGTGATTGAATTAGTGACAAATATTTCTTTTCTATTCTATGATAGTTTATTCACCCTTGCCCTCATAGTGACACCGCGAAATTTATAATTACATTATGTCTGCTACTTTACTATTTTCATGTAGATTGTGTTAAGTATTTTTTCGTACAATTTGTTTGAGATGATTGATCCTTTGGATTTGTTACTTTACTTGTAGCTCAGGTCTTTATGGGGTTTATTGGTGGATTTAGTTAGCCGGAGGTTAATTCTGTTATTCCTCTAAAACAAAAAGTTATTAGTTATATTATTGAAGCAACCTTTTTATAAGGTTTGTCATTAAGATCCATTTTGCAGTATCTGTTGATAACATATAAAATAGTATAATCTTCAGAGTTCAGATTAAGGATTCATTTTGCAAGCTGTACTATAACGATTCTCCTGAGTTTAATTTTCATACGGTTGTTAAATAATGCTTCCAAATAGTACAAACCTCTAATAGTTCTTATCAGCTTAAGCCTAAAGCAAGACTTATTTCGTTACATTACAAAATGAAACACATAACAACATATTTATTCATGTTATGCCCTAACGGTAATCTAAGGCTTTCTTAAATTATACTCTTTGTTTGTTTCACTAGTCACCAGCATGAGATTGAGATGTCCTTTTCAATGTACAAACCAATAGCTACATTTGATTAATGGAAATTTCATTTTATGCATAGTACTGCCAAATGAAATGAACCATTTTGTACATTAGGAAACTTCCTTTGCCCCTCCCTTTCCCTCCCAATATATTCTCATACCATCAAATCTCAAAATGGTTAAACTATTGCGTTCATTTTGGCAAAATGAGCAAGGGTCCTGGTGTATATTCAACTATTGGTGATAAGGCCAAAGGTTTTATCAATTCCTCTTCTTTTTTTTTTAGTTGATCTTTAAGCTTCTTTACCAGTGTTATACTGACATAAATTTGTTTATTTTATGTTTTTATTAGATGTTCTCTACAAGGACTATGCTCAGCAATCACCAATTCACTTTCACTACAAATTCATGGATTGGAATGCAGGCTTTGCTTGTAAAGGTAATATGAATATCAATTTAACTCTATAGTACTGCACGCATTCACGCTGTCAATGATTCCGCGACCCATCTGATCTCCAGCTCGATAATTTTAGTTCTTAAAGAAAATCAGAAGGGGATCGGACGGTCTAGATCTCAAATCTGCTTCTTTTTTGGATAGTCTGATATGGACCGGACAGTCACGAATCCCCTGACTGCATGAATGCATGCAACCAATGACTAGTCCGATTCGAATTTCGTATAACCCTAGAAAAACATAACATTACCAAGCTATGTCTGACTGGAGTGTTTTTGCTGCTTTATCAATTACAGTTGTAGAAATTGTACCAGGATTTAGGACAGTTTTCAAATGTACCATACCAGATTCCGGGAAGGTAACATTACTTTTTACTTGCCTATAAAATCTCTGTATAGTATCATCTTAAACCATTTTTAGTGTTAAAATATTTTTCATTGCACAATGAAATCACAGGTAGAACTACAATATGTGAATAGATTCACTGGGATTAGTGGATGCATTGGATTATTAGGAAGCGAAGAAGGACAATATGAACCTGTTCTAAACTTCTCCGGCCTTCTAGGAACAAGCATTCTGTCCCTGGGAGCCAATGTTGCGTTCCACATACCAACAAGATCAATAACCAAGCTCAATGCTGGTTTCGGCTTCAACAGTGCTTTCCTTGAAGCTTCATTGACCTTGTAAGATATATCCAGCCAAAACTAGACTAAAGTTATCAGAAAATTGATAGGAGTATAAATCAATGATCTCTATCTAAACTAACTTGATGATTGATCATTAGTACTAAGTGTTCTGCTCCGGTTTAATGCTGAAGTTTGGTGTTATGCAGGCATGACAGCTTCGACACTGTAAAAGCGACCTTTTATCATCAAGTGAATCCCCTAACCCAGACTGCCATTGCAACACAGGTGAAGCATAGCTTGTCGCTCAAGGAAACTGGTGTCAACATTGGTGTTCAGCATGCGTTCTTTCCGGAAACGCTGTTAAAGGCTCGGTTTGACAGCTCTGGCAAGGCAGGTACTCTTATTCAACAAGGGTTTTGGCAGAAGTTTTTTGTAACTATGGCTGGTGAAATTGATTTCGGGGCCGAAGATAAAACTCCAAAGTTTGGAGTTTCCATGGCTCTAAGACCCTAGTGTATGTCAAGGAGATAAGCATTCATGTTAAAATGAGAGGTTGTTGCATGAGGAAACTTTCAAACAATGACTCCAAACTTCTTCAATGTCCAAGAACAGTACTAGTATTAGATATATCTATTGATCACTTCTACTTCAAAAATTTAAAATGATTCTTGCTTATTCATATAGAACATTAGTCTCTGAAAATAGCTCTAGACATATTTTCTTTTCTTAGATTTACAGCAGCTTCATGCTACTTCCATTATCTACTTTGTTTTGGGCAACTCTATTATTCATAAAGGTGGAGCAAGCTTATATTTCTCAGTTAAAAAGAACACTGAAATGCAAGCCTTCAGATTCTGAGGGACAAAATTGTAATGTACCCTCCTCTCAGATATTATTATTATTATTATTATTATTCATTATTATAAAGACAGAAGCATACATTTTCCTTTTGTGAGGTAGAAACCATAGTTGACATAAACATTTCATGGATGCAACTTTCACAATTTAGAAAACATTAATATACAGGGATAGTTGGATATTCTAGATATGCGTCAATTATAATGTAGAAAACTCGTATTTATTATAAGAGTTGCAAACTGAAAGTATAAAAAAAGAGTAATTCCGTTAAATTGTCCTCCAAAGACTTTATCACCAAATCAATCCCGCAATGATAAAAAACAGTTACCAAGTATGTATTTGAGTCACCATTTTCCTCAAGAGAAAATGTGACAAGATTTTAAATCATTGAAGGATCAACTTATTAATAAAAATATCTTTGCAAGATTGATATAGTGATACCGTATATTTGGAGGATTGGTTTATCAGTTTACTCTGATAGAAAATTATATAACAAACTGAAGCATTATAACAAAAAGCATTAAAAAATCACCACACTCCATTACAAATTAGATACAAAGTAGGTGGGATAGAAGCTACACATGAGCTACAGAACCTTGGAGAAGTCCGTCACGGATTTGGCTAGCTACATCGCGAACAACACCAGGTCCATGTGGAATGAACACAGCAGAAGTCTTGGAGGTAGCACCAATTTCTTTCATCGTATCAAAGTATTGAGTGATAAGGACCATATCCATGACATCTTTTGCAGTTGTCCCAGGTACATTAACCGAAAATCCAATCACACTGTCTCTCAGACCATCCACAATGGCTTGACGTTGGCGAGCAATACCCATCCCATTGAGATATTTTGACTCAGCCTCACCCTCAGCTCGCTTGATTTGCAAGATTTTCTCTGCCTCTGCCTTCTCATTTGCTGCCATCCTCAATCTTTGAGCTGTTCAAAGACACAAGACAGTATAAGAAAATATGGCACTCCATGAACAAAGGAGATATAAGTTAAATTCATACAATACAAATGATGTGGGGACAAAAAATTACCGGCATTGATTTCATTCATAGCTCGCTTCACATGCTCATCTGGCTCTATATCAGTAATGAGTGTTTGAACAATTTCATATCCATAAGCTGACATAGCCTGTGGAGACGATTCAAAGTTACACAAATCCTCAGTTTACCTTATCAATAAATACTAACTACAACAACAAAAAAACCTTCTCAAGTTCTTCTTCCACAGCTTTTGCGATTTCATTTTTCTGCTCAAAAGCATCATCCAAGTTGAGCTTTGGTACACTTGCCCTAATTACTGCAATGAGAATAGAACTTTAACTCAGCTGATAATAATTTACATATTTTTAAATCACTTGTCACATGTTTATGTATTTCTAAGCAGGGTTATGATTTATACCATCAAAAACATAAGCTTGAATTTGGGACCTTGTGTTGCTAAGTTTGTAAAATGCATCATTGGCACTGTTAGCCAAGGCACGGTATTGAATAGACGCAACAACATTGACAAAGACATTATCCTGCAAGTATTCATGTGATTAATAAGCATGGAATGATATGAAGATTTGGCTTAATCAAAGTCTTAGACAGTACCAAACCTTTGTCTTGGTTTCGCATTTGATATCCAACTGTTGTAGCCGAAGAGACAGATGACCAGCAATTCGTTTTCCAAGGAACCATGGCAGGCAATGGCATCCCGGCTGAAGCACCTTCTCAAATTTTCCAAAACCTTCTTTCATAGCCACCGTAGATTGGTCAACTTGAACACAACACACAAGATTCCCCATTTTCTTTTAACTGCACATATCGACAGAATATACAAAGTATGAGAACGAGAATTATATCACTTAGACCTCAATTTTTCATGCCAATACAATTCTAATTAACTTCTACTATAGGAATTCTTCCGTTTCCAAAAAGTAACAAAATTCAATCCATCAAAGATTAGCCATCTATAATCAATCAAACATCATCGGCTATGAAACCATTTACTAAAATGACACAATCCTTAACATATCTTATACCATTTACTAAAAAAATCAAAATTTGTCTGAGATATTACCTCAGTTTTGGAAAAGCTACAAACTTTATCTTAAGGAGGCAAGTTAAAGTTGGTATCACCTTGAAAACAAACCAGCTATATATTGATCCAGAAAATCAATTATTTGAATGAAACAAGAAATTTCATAGAAAATCAGAATGAGAGATGAAACTAAAGCTGACTTGGAAAAGTTCTTTCAGAGTTAGCTTGAATAATACGCAAGTTGAGCAATGAGTATTAAAATGGATTGTATTCTTGATATTAATCGCCACTACTAATTAAGAAGTATATTTTAATAGTATTCCATTGACATAGATATACATACAATAATATAATTATATATATATATATATATATATATATATATATATATATATATATATATATATATATATATATATATATATGTTTATAGTGAGAATTACAAGCTACAGATCCTCTTAGTTTAATTCATCAGCCGGATAGTGGAAAATGGAATATAGATATATACAATAAAGTCTAATGAGCATAAGAAATATTAAAAAATAGGCAAATTCGTAAAATCTAATAATGAAAACAAAAAAAGAAAGAAAATAAAAAAGGGGTGATGAATTATTACCTTTTTTTTAGGTTTTGGTTAATGAAGTGTTCCTTGAAAACAAGTTAACAACTGTATTAGTATTGTTAATACAAGTGGGGTGAAGAAAAAAAAGGAGTTGAAAATAACCCCTAGTCATTATCGTTTGCCAAGAAAGTACTAAGTGATTACAATGGATAAGCATAGTGGATAACTAGTAGAAAATATCGTCGATAATGACATTAACGAATAATAACTCAACTTAGGATTCAAACCTTGTTGTTTGTGGATACTAGTCTTTTGATTCATTGACTAAAACAATAACTTTTCGACTTTTTCCTTTTCTTTTTTTTTTTATTTGGCATAAATGTAGTTTTAATCCCAAGTTTTTTAATTGTTTGATTTTGTTTTTCATTTTGGTTTCAAATTTTCCAATTTTAATTGATTGATTTTGTCTTTGAAATATGTCAATTGTTTGATTTGGGCTCATCAAGTTTGTTCCCTTTTGAGAATTTAACATGACACGCTCCAATTTTTAATTATTCTAGAATTATCCTTTTTGAGATACAAACAATTTTTGGATGAAATTTCTGGTACAGACAAAACATCTGGTACACCCCTACAAAATTTTTGGTTTATGTAAATTTCTGGTAGCGTATTTGAAATTTTCGGTATTCCAGAAATTTCAAATGCACTACCAGAAATTTACATAAACCGAAAATTTTGTAGGGGTGTATCGGACGAAAATTTGAGTTATACTAAAAATTTTGGTAATTCATTTATTCAAGTTTTTGCAACAGTCGAGATTTTGCCGACATCTTCGGAGGATCCTGATTGCACCGACAAATTTGTATGATCTAGAATGCATCACCATTTGTATAAATAGGAGCATATACTATAGAGAAAAATATCTCAAAAAATGTCTCTTCCTCAATTTCTGATTAAGGCAGAAGTATATTACAACAGAAGCAACCCTGCTGTTGAATTCAAGCTTCCAGATGGCAGCACATCCCTTGCCACCTTGAAAGAAACGTTGAATGCATTATTGCCTGATTCCGATAACAGAAGGGTGACAAAGATCGAGTTTCGGGACCATTATATTGATGCAGATGGTTGGGTGAAATACAATCTGATTGAGTTGAAGACTGATGAAGATGTGAAGGTCATGTGGAAAATATTTCGTTGTGGGATAACTAAAGGTCCGATCAAGTTGGATGCAGAGATCCAAAGATTCATCGACGACACAATCAAGATGTTGAAACATCCAGAATCATCCGGTAGTGTCTAGGTTTTCATGTTTAGTTATTTTTAGTTTTTGTTTGTCGTACTGCTTTGTGTTATTTTCATCAATTCGAAACATCTAATCTCCAAAATATTATGCAATAAATAAGAAGTTTGTGTGTCATAAAATATATATATATATACATAATGCAACCAAAATAAAATAGATCTACATAGGCCCTCCACATGCTACGTCGGCTAACCTAGATAAACATGTATAAATCTCACCATCAGGGTTTACCAAACCCATGAGGTTATCTAAATGAACTGCAATAAACTGTAGGTGGTTGTTCTGATCACCTCCAGGTGGTAGAGGTGGTGCTGGCGACTCAGCAGAAACCCTAGCACGTGAAGGCCCCGGAACATCAGATATTTCAGCCAGTGGTATAACCTGAGGGTGTGATACATTGTGATACCACTCAAGGTACACATCCTCGCACTATGAAGGATGCTGAACCACATCTGATCTATCCCTGATCTCACAGGCAGAGCTGATGATGTGACTCGGAAACCATATGTTAATGCCACCAGCTGAAGTTTCAGGAACTCGATGAGGGATGCCCTGGATATAACCATACTATCGTAGACACCTCTCATGCAAGTGTCTAATCACACGGTTCTACCACCTAAGATGCCCTGAATACAAAGAAGCATCGTCAAATGCACGATGAGGCCGGTGAGATGTATATGGTGTCTAAACAACATCCTCTAAGCTCAGAGCACTAAGCATCTCCCAGTACTCCATCAAACCTCCTGAAAGGGCTTACTTGCTCTTCCATCTCCTCGCGCATGGTACAGTAGTTGGGACACGCTGGATCTTTCAGTCACTGATGTGGGGGAAGTGCTCGTATATCCAGCACTGCATAAATATAATAATTAAATAAATACACCCAAATAAATAATAAAAACAATAAAATAAAGTATAGTATGCCTGTAAAAGGCTAAGGTAACCATCCAGTTGTCTGTCTTACGCTGAGTAGAAACTCCAAGTGTCGTGTACATCATGGTCAACGTCGCCACTCCCTAAGCCCAACAAAGAGTGTCAAGGGTGTTGAACAGAGACAGGTAACAAACATCAATGTAAACTCCAGAATTGTCTACAAAGAGAGTACATGCCACCAGATGCAGTATATACGCCCTAGCGAAAACCTGGTACCTTTTGGCCTCCACATGCTCCCCGTACCTGTTTACCGTGAAAAATGGTAAACAACCGCTGATCTTCCAAAAGGTTACTTATTTGGTGACTAGCAGGATCGATCAGATTGATCCCAAGACATGGTTGATTTTATGGAGTTTGACTAATCCTAATGGTGATTAATTCCAGTAAAGTAAAGACACTTTAAGTAAATTGCATGAAGAAAAGCTTGATAGAATAAATAAAAGCGTTAAGTAAAAGGCTTCGACGGAGATAAGTAAATGAAAAGCGATAAATTGCTTGAATATAAAAGATTTGATTAATTTAAATGGTGTTTCACACATACATTCTCAATGATTCTTTCTCTCACGCTGGGTACTTGAATCTAAATGAGTGACTTGTATATAACGATGAACACACGCGAAAACTACGTGAACAACTAGTATTTATACTAAAAACGAATCCTAAGTAACCGCTGGGCAGTTACACTGCTTCGAGATGACGCCACATGGCACGCTCACAGACTTCGACGCTTCTGTTCTCGGCACGTTGCACTTGGTAACTGCTGGGAACCGTTTTCCCTCCAACAATTCAAATCTCAAACTGTTCGACCTTGGGCATCAGGTACCTTTGTCGAGAGGTTCCTTCAACGTCGAAGACAACAAGATTCCAACTTAAAGGAATTTCTCTAAGTATCTTGTCATTCTTTGATGAGCCTTCGACATGATCAGCTGGTCGAAGCCTTCTTATGTAGGAAACTCTTTTGACTCATAATTAATGGTCTATATGATAATAAATATGGGTGTCGAATTTAGGAGCCAACAAATTGCCCCCCAAGAATGTCTTATTTCGACGCTGAAAAGAAAAAGGCATTCTTTGATATTCCATTCGACACCTGTCCTTTATTCTCAGCCACAAATTAGTTTGTGTGCTTTTCGTCTCCTACCAACCAACTGACAATCTCAAAAAGTCATCATTTCACCTGTTCCCAAGACGTCACTTCAGTAAGGCATTTAGCATGCACAATGTCTTTTCAAATGTTGTCATCATGACTATTTCCCGAAGTCGAGGATGCACGCTGCACCGTTTCCGTTCTTCAGAACGGCTACATCACCAAATGAGTGTCGCGTGCCCCACTCTTGTCTGTGACATTAAATAACCTCGAGTCTTGTGATTTTTCAATCACTATAAATAGCACTAAGTGCCTCTGTTGGACTCTTTACGCTTTCTTTCATCCAAACCTTCAGTCGAACAAAATTTTCTGCAAGCAAACCTTTGCTTTTTTCCTCTTCAAACCCAGTAACCTTTGTTTTTCATCCATCTTCATCTCAAACCAAAAAATGGCTTCACGTTCTCGTTCTTCCAATGTCCCCAGATCTAGCACTCCCTCTAAAACTACTCAACCGGAAATCTTTTCAACCGCTCCGATAGTTAACTCTATGGGAATGCGAAGGGTTTCTGAACCCATGGGAGATGCTGAGCATGAAACTTATTCTTCTCAACTGTTGATTCCTGTTGGATATTCCAACCAGGTTTTCGCCATGTCTGGTCCTCTATCTACATGCATTGCTGACCCAACGAAAATCGAGGGTTTCTTCCCCGTACATGAGGCACTCAAACCCATTGGGTGCTCCAAGAAGGCGACATACGATACTGAAGATCCTGCAAAAGAGAAAATAGATCTTCGGTTCTTCAACAGGGGGGTTAGGTATTTTAGGTCTAGCCCTAACCTTACACCAGAATACAACGCTTGGCTCAACAAGATGGAGAAGTGCCAGGCTTCGATTTGGAAGGGCATGGGGATTTATGATCTAGTCATGCTGTCCAAAACTGGTCTCAACTACTGTCCTGAAATGCTGGTAGCTTCTTTGCTGTTTTGGGATTATACTCATTATACCTTCCACCTGCCTTGTGGAATGGTAACACCCACTCTCTTCGACGTGGCCGCTATTACTGGTCTTCGACCAACTGGGGACTACTTCGACCCAGAGGAAATGTCTGAAGACCAGATTTGGTTTTCAGCTACCAAACCCACTTATACCACCTACACCAACCACTACCATGACAAATCGACGGCTGTGGTGACTGATGTGGAGCACATCGTGTTTCTAGCCCTTTGGCTGTCACGCTTCGTGTTCTGCACGAAATCCCTACAGGTGA